AAAAAACTTTGGAAAGTGATAAAAGAGGCCACTATGAATAACATAGACATAAAAAGTGTAATTAATGATGAAAACATAGAATTAAATAATAAAAAAGCAGTAGCCAACGAATTTAATAGATACTTTAACAATATAGGGGAGGCCTTGGCAAAAAGAATAACCGAGAATAGATTCTATGACAAACATGCCATGAGTGAGGGAGAGAGAAGGGCAGGCTCTTTTTTTTTGACACCTATTTCAGACAGGGAACTTCTCAAACAGATAATGAGCCTCAATAAAAATGTGAAAGGAGGAGAAGATGATATTAGTTCAAACATAATAAAAAGTTTTCATATTGAATTAATGAAACCAATCAGCCATATTATTAATGTAATATTCGGTAATGGAGTTTTCCCTGAAGTACTAAAGAGTTCAATAATTGTACCGGTATATAAACAAGGAGACAAAAAATTAGCAAGTAATTATAGACCAATAAATTTAACGAGTACTATAAGCAAATTGGTAGAAAAATGTTTTAAAATGAAATTAATGGTATATTTAGAAAAATATAAATTGCTCGGTGAAAACCAGTTTGCTTTCAGGGAGGGCTCTAGCACGGAGAATGCCTTATGTCGTGTAACTGAAAAGATTCTGAAAAACCTAGATCAAGGAAAAAAAAGTTATAGGCATTTTTCTTGACCTTCAAGAGGCATTTGATACTGTGGTTCACCAAATACTTTCAAATCGACTTGATATAATTGGAGTTAGAGAAATTAGTATCTACTTCGTTTTGAAGTAAATACTACATAGAACATACTAATACTTGTAGTAGTAGCAAGTACTTCGTTTTTATTCATACCACCCATTATCTGTGGTGGATGAGGGAAATGTTTATTGTTTCGCTGATGACACAGGCATAATAATCAGCGATGATGACTGGGATTCTACAAAAATGAAGGCTGAAAGAGCTATGAAAAAAATTAAGACATGGTTAGACTTCAGTTTATTATCGCTCAATGTTGAAAAGACAAAGTTTGTTGCGTTTTCTCTTTCCTCTCGTTCATTGCCAGGCTTCCAGGATTTAATATTGCATCATCAAAATTGTAAAGTTGACATAAACTGTAAATGTGATAAATATATTGAAAGAAAAAAATGTGTAAAGTATTTAGGAATCTTTCTAGATGAGAATTAGGGCTGGGCGATTATCAAAATAAATAATCGATTATCGATTATTAAAAATAATCGATTATTTTCGATTAATCGATTAATCGAAAATAATCGATTAATCGGAAATAATCGATTAATCGGAAATAATCGATTAATCGAAAATAATCGATTAATCGAAAATAATCGATTAATCGAAAATAATCGATTAATCGATTAATCGAAAATAATCGATTAATCGAAAATAATCGATTAATCGAAAATAATCGATTAATCGAAAATAATCGATTAATCGAAAATAATCGATTGATCGAAAATAATCGAAAATAGGTAATCGGTTAATCGAAAATAATCGATTATTTTCGATTAATCGATAATTTTTTTTGATAAATCGTTTATTTTCGATCTATTGATTATTTTTGATTATTCGATTATTTTTGATTATTCGCTTATTTCACAATAATCGGTAGATTTTTTTCTTGGGTTTCATGAAGTAAAAGAAATTCACTTGCCCTTAACCGGCTAGTTTTGAAATAAACTCTCTGGTTACTTTGGAGTTTGAGGCCCGGTTTATTCATCTTCAGATAGACTTGCTGGTTGACAACTATTAGCAAGATCAATTTACCCTTCTATAATTATTGTCTCGGTCGACCAAGGGCCGACCAATAACTGGCCGACCAATGGGATTACAGATTGCGTTATTATCCGCGAAATTGCATACCGAACAGTTTATTAGAAGGTGAATAAACCGGCCCTTAGATATGCAAACAAAAACAAAACATAAAATTATCTCAAAAATAATAGATTAATCGTAAATAATTGATCAATCGAAAATAACCGATTAATCGAAAATAATCGAATAATCGAAAATAATCGAATAATCTAAAATAATCGATTATCGAAAATAATCGATTAATCGAAAATAATCGATTAATCGAAAATAATCGATTAATCGAAAATAATCGATTAATCGAAAATAATCGATTAATCGAAAATAATCGATTAATCGAAAATAATCGATTAATCGAAAATAATCGATTAATCGAAAATAATCGATTAATCGAAATTATTTGAAAATAAAATAATCGACTAATCGATTAATCGATTATTTTGCCCACCCCTAATGAGAATCTTACATGGAAAGAACATGTAAAATATGTAACAGGGAAAATAAGAAAATTAATATTTAAATTCTATGAATTGCGGAATGTCTTAACTTTCAAGCATATGAAAATGGTTTATACTGCTTTGGTGGAGTCAATTATAGATTATGGTATAGTGGTGTGGGGCTGTGCAGGTTCGACTGTTATAACCAAACTTCAAGTGGCGCAAAAATGGATTATTAAAATACTCCTTTTTAAAAAGAAAAGATCTCCCACGGAGCTAGTATATCGAGACAGTAATTTATTAACACCATATCAAATTTACATTAGAGCAATTGTCCGATTTATGTTAAAAAATCCGTATTATAGAGAGAGCATTAATCATGGTGTTAATACAAGGAATGTGGCTCAGAATAATATCCTACTGCAGGGCCCCAAACACTGCACATGCCAGAATCATATCTATAGTGTAGGTCCTAAGGTATTTAATAGCTTACCATGTGAGTTTAGGGTAAAACCATACTACAAAGTTAAAAAAGAAATAACGAAATGGATTGTGGAATCTAACTTCAAAATTACAGTTTTATCTTGATTAGTTCAACTAATCATATTGCATTAGTACACTCATCAAATTGTTATACATGGCAACACTTATGAAATATAATTATAAAATTATTATAGGGCGCAGACACAGTAACTTAGTTACCATAGCGCGCCGCAATTATTTGCTACTAATTCATTAAGTAACTTACTATATGACATGTATATTGATTGTAATCATTATTGTTATCGTTATCAATATTATTTTTGAGATTGTTAGCGAATAAATAAATAAATAAATAAATAAGCTGTTACCAATGATAATTCTAATAAAGAAGGACTTACGCATTGTTAAATTGTTTTGTTTCTGGCAAAGCATAAAATTTTACTAATTGCCTGGATAAACATGGCACTCCCTGTGCTGACCCTGGAAGTGGTCGGAATGACCAGACTCTAATTATTTGTTCGTGAGGTGTACTTGTTTGTTTTTTTACTTAAATGTTTTTTTTTTATCTTAGATGTATGTGTTTATTTATTTTTTTTTGTACTAAAGGTTTTTTAAGATTTAAGTACAATTTTTTTTTATTGTGTATTGTAAATAATGACATGATCAACACCCTCTGGGTAAAATGTTCTCTACCAATTTGTAATTGTAATTGTAAACATATTGATCGAATAAAGAAATCTATCTATCTATCTAACATATTGAAACTCCTCGACTTCAAGAACTTATTGATGTCATCCGACAGGGCGTACATTCACATTCAACATAACAATAAGTAGATGTGTTCTGTGCTTGTTCTTATAATAAAATGTGTTAAGTTATAATATTGGCTGGCGATAAAGTTTTGTATGCATCATGTCAGTAAAGTGCTTTTATCGAACTCGCCTCGGTCACTCCGCTAGCTCGACTCGCTGGTACATAAATAACTATTAACTAAAGTTAATAATTTTTAAATTTTTTGAATTTTCTTGTTTTTTTTTCCCTTATTTTTTCTTACCTTCTTTAAGAATTCTATCTTTTGTTGATACCCCTATTAAGTTAGAATAAAAATATACTTACTTAATTAGGACATAGAAATATTTGATCAATGTTATGAAATAAAAAATATTTTCCAAAATTAGGTGTAGTATTGTGCTAATTTTGCTGGCCAGTGTATATTTGAAAAGTTGGATTATCCGTGACACCTGAAATCGATCAGCACCAAAGTATTATTACTTTTGCTCGAGTAAATTAAGTTTATGAAAAGTCCGCAAAGGCCCTAAATCTCGCCTTAAACAAAGGCATTCGGATATTAATTTGCATTTTTGATTGCCAACATCCAACCGATGTGCGTTAAACACTCGAGTCGCTTATTATAATGCATACCCTTTTCACCTGATGCACCTGATTTGAGGGGGCTGCAAAAAGCTCTTTAAGGTAATGTTAAGCTGGATTTATACAGCAAATAAAATAAAATAAAATAACATAAGATAAAATAAAAAATCCATAACTAATGCATTTCTTATTTTATTTGTTATTTTCTGTATAAACACTTTAAGGGTATCTCATGAATTTAACTGTTATTTCTTATTTCTTATTTTATCTTATTTTATTTTATTTGCTGTATAAATCCAGCTTTAATATTAAAGAATAATGATACTATCTGAATTGGGTGTTTTGAAGTGTCTCCGAGGAGCTCTAGCTAGAGCGATGTATAAAAGAAATACAGTAAATAATGCAAAGAGGGTTTTAGACCACTAAAACAATGCATTAGGCACATTCAATCCATTCATGGACTCAATTTTTGACTTTTTCCAAATAAAAATGTTCAACCTCATTTCACCTGCAGTATGGTGGTTCACAAAAGTCATTGGGTACATTCAGGCAGTGCCAGCGACTAAGCTCAGCCATTCTGCCTGAATGTACCCATTGATAAAATCTAAGTCAATAGGAAAGTATATCTGCAATTTTTACAGGTAAATCGTATAAGTAAAATACAAAAAATGTTTCTATGTCCGGTATAGGCTTTGAAACCATCCAACTGATGTGCCCAAACCGGTTTACTTAATTTGAAAGGCAATAATGCGGAAAGCGGAAAGGGTTTTTTTTCCAACAAATAAACAATATGTTTTTCTTTTTTTAGCGTAGTTGCACACGCCGGGTATCCGCTAGTTATCCATACATTTAAACGACAATCAACACATTTATATTGTAGTGAAATATTCACATACCTGCAGCCATCACTTTTCAATTTACTTTTCAAATTAAAAAAATGTTTTGCTGGTTCTGATAACCTCGTAACGTTGAAAAGAAAAAGAAAAACTTTAATATTTATTTAAATTTAGAGACAACCAAAACATGGATTAATATCTTTTTTTTTTAGGTTAGAGTGTAAAGAGAAAGAGAAAAGAACACTGAAGAAAAGACTAGTAGCAGAGTAGCACCCAGAGAGCCACTTTCTATGGGAGTGTGACGCCCGGAGCTACTCGGGGCGTTGAGCTCCCGAGCTGGGGCGAGTTCAGGAATGACACACCCAGTGTGAGTGTGACACCGGTGCGACGCCCCAGCTGTTCGAAAATGCTAGACGGTGCTATAGGCCCAATGGCCAATTGTCAATTCAGGCACACATAAAATCGCACTCGCACCCCGTGCGTTATTTCTGAACTCGGCCCTACGTACGCGTCGACCTGTAAGCTGTCACATCCGTGGGTGGCTATTTATCTATTTATTTCTTGTTAAATCGCAAGATTAAACATTTTAAAAAATATAGTTTTGATTCTCTTTCATTTTTGATAAATAAAAAAGCAAACTGCACAAACAAAAAGATATTATTTTTAAAATTTGACATATTTGACACCAGCCGCTTTCCAGAGCCGCTTTCCAGAGCCTAAATTGTTAGAGTATCATGCTCCTGAAGTGTGACGCTCTTGAACTGTTCGACATAAGTAGCACTGGAACGCTCTCGTCTTAACCCCCACCATTTCGGATTTCAGGAGCATGAAACATAGGCAAAAGGGTTGGTGCACGAGGGGGCAGGGGATAACAGAAATGAGTAGCTCAAGTGTACGACACTCTAAGCACTGGAACGCGCAAAGCAATTGTGGAGCACTCCTGAGCTGCTCAGGAGTAACTCAAATGGGTCACTGGAAAGCACCTCAGCTGACGCTTTTGAGCAGGCAATCGAGCTTTTGCGCGCGCAAATGCTTCAAGCGCGTGTTCGTGTTCCAGCCGTACGGCGTTTCGAGAGCTGTTAACTTTTGCGTTTCAAACACAGAACACTGTGCTGCATCGTGCTTGAAGCACACAGCTGGAAAGCGGCTTAAGACAGGCGTCTCACGCCATGATACTGGAACGGTACAAATTTAGTGCGTGGCGCCCCTGAGGTTCTCTAGAACGCGCCAGAGCGCGCCAATGTGCATACTGGAAAGCGGCTGACCATAACCCAGACAAGCGAATTTTCGCGCTTGACATCGTGGCGCGAACCATAGCGAGTTGCATTGATACAAAAACTGCAGCTCCGAGCTCCGGTGTGAAATTCAAATTCACTCAGGTGGTTCTTAAAATGATTTATCATCCAATTTTTTTACCGCAGCGCAGCGAAGCGACACTCGGTAAACTTCGAGCGCGCTCGAAACGATAAGATCCTGTTCGCTTTAGCCCTCAGAGTGTTCTCTTTTGCGTTCGGGTTATAATCGAGCACGACGTATCCCGAGTGCGCCCTCTTGTCCCTGGAAAGGATGGATGGAGAACTGGAAAAATTGAAGTTATCAACTGTTGAAAAATTTAAACCCTAAATTAAAAAAAAAATTATAATTCGGATTCGGTTAGTAGGTACCTACAGGGTTTTGGGTTTGCGTCCACCCCAAGGTTCTCTCATTCCCACCATATGTTTTTGGGCGAAAGACTTTTTCCAGGTTGTTACCTAGCAGTTACTTTCTATTCTCCAGTGCATAGAAAGTACCTGCTAGGAACTTCGAGTGGTAGGTATCCATCACGTCACTTTGTAACCGGGTTAGAAAACGGTATGTCATTTCTCTAACCGTTTTGTAACCCGGTTAGTTCAACCGGAGCCACGTGAAAAGAATTTATGGATAATACACACAATAGAGGGGCGAGTTCAGGAATGACACACTCAGTGTGAGTGTGACACCGGTGCGACGCACTAGCCGTTCATAAATGCTATAGCCACACCGATTGCGCGCACTCTGTTCTGTTCAGAAAGTACTTCGGGCGCGCTCCAGGTGTCGCACCGGTCACACCATAATTTTTTGGTGTGGCTGCGGTGTGATTGTGTCTTTATGTCAATAATGTCAACCATTCCTCCCATAATCTCATTAGGGAATTATTGGAATACGGCCGCAGTTGACTGTGCCGCTTTAGTGCCGACCCAAAATTGACTGTGGCGGGCGCTATTTTGGCTCACAAAAGGAATTATTGAACGACACGTTAAAGTCGGCAGTGGCATGTCATGTTTTATTTTCATATTCCTAACCTAAAATTGCAAAATGTAAATACGTGTTTGGTGTTCTTTAAGTGGTTCTTCTTGTAGTTTTTTGTTGAATTTGTTTTGTTTGTTCATCTATATTTTATAATGGAAGATATTGGAGGCCGTATTATTAGGGGATGGCAATGGGGATGATGACAATGTGGGATACGTCATTCTAGACCACATTTCAAGGGACGAGAATGCTGAAAGGCGGGGCCCCGTGGTCATTGAAACGAAGTATTTGTGACTTTAAACTGTATTTCATTTCATAAGAGCCCATTCTAATGAAAAAATCCAACACATGCAATCAACAGAACAGGCAAATCGGTAAAAAAACCTATAAAAGCATGTAGCAAATACGCCCCAAGTACTCTATGTAAATTAGTTAGATGGTAAATGGCGAGCGGTATATTGATGGTGTTTATATACTTGGAGCTTGCTATCTAAAATCTGTGGAAGAGGGTCTATTTGCAAGAGAGAGAAACAAACTAAGGAGGTGTACTAAATTGTATTTTATTTCACATAAAACTCAAAAATCAATTAGCCAAATATCTCCCAATACTTTACATCCTTCTTTAATTCTGTAAAATTAATACTTCACATCCGTTCTATATTGTTATTATACGGACCACTGAAATATGCCTTCTTAATAAGAAACGCCCTATTCATACTATTTCTCAAAATAATATTTCTATTTATTTTACTACATCCAAATCATTCCTAATAACTACCCTTTACCTAGTCAAATAATTCCTTTAAATCTCTAAGTCCATTACTTATAAAAACCCAAAATAATTACCTATTTGTTTAACAACTAATTTATTCTCATAAGGTCTTGCAATAACTCCTACTTGTAAAATAAACTCCCTAATTCAAAATTCATTCCATGGACAATAAATTCTTTTAACGGCTTTCCCATATTCTAAGACATTTCTATTTCATGAACAAATTCTAATATAAGTTTCCTTTTAACAAGTGTCCAATATTTTAAGAAAACATTTCTATTTTATGTCATCAATTTTCTTTTCAAAATTTCCTACCGCAGTTAATAGTTTATCAGAACAAATTCTATTTTCGGATTCCTGTGCCTAGCTAATAAATCCAACTGTTTAAGTCATAATTCCAACTCAAAATTGAATATTGTTAAATGCATTGTAAGTACTCTTCATATTTTTGTTGCACATTTAAATGTCATTAAAATCTGAAGTCTGAGAGTAATTGAGTTATGCAATAATGTTCCATTTATAAAACACTCAAGCTACTAATTTCGTTGTAATAAAGTTCCACTGTTAAATTAAAAGTCAAAAGTTTTTCTAGTAGTGCAATCCTCAAGTTTATAAATTCAAAAGTACTTCTAGTAAAAAAATCACTCAGTTTGTTTTATGCAAAGAAAGTCAGAGTTTAATCACTCAAAGTCATGTCCATCAAAATAAATCTTGTCACTATAAAGTACTTACATTTTTGTCCATAAAACACACGTAAAATTACTTAATTAACTACTCAAAATATTTAGCTAAGCACGCACATAAAATTATTTAATCGAATTTCAAATGTTATTACTTTCTCGATTTTCCGTAAATTTTCTAAGTTAATTTATACCCGACCATAGGCCATAAAAGAAACTTTTCGCGAAACTGGACCGACTTTACTTCAAATGGACGACTCGACTCTTAACTGGCAACTATCAACTGGGAACTATCTTCAGATAACTGGGAACTATCTTCCGCGAGTTTTATATCAAATCGCTCTCCCCACAAAATTATTATTAAATTTCCCCCAAATCGTCAATATAGGCGGTCGTTAACTTAGGAATCCGAATTTCATTGGACGGCCTCATTGTTATTAAAAGAATGATGCAATTTCCGTGAATATTATATCATTTTTGTAGCCCAAAAATCGACTAATTATGTCGCAATTATCTGATTTATTGAGGTCAAGACGTTTTGGGTTCAAGAATCCATAATTCATTCGACTCAATGTGTGTTAAACGGAAAGGCCTTGGCTAAATAAAGTTCATTGAATCGGATTTTAGGATGACACCACCTCGGTTTTATCAGTTTTTTAAGAATTTAATTTAGATGAACGACTTCCGGGTGTCGCTATACGATTGCTTAGTTGGTTTTTATTTTTAAATTATCGATACAGATTTCAAAATACCGGAATTAAGTTTTTGATTGTTTGATTATTTATTTAATTTTTACAGTAAAGACTTTGTAATTATAGGGTCAAATTTCTGGATCATCACATCCCTCCACCCTTTAAAACCGAAATTATATTGAATAAGATAATTTCGGACAATTCTTATTCAATTGTCCCATCAAAGTATCGAATTTCACCATAAATTAGGTGCCTGCCTTGTAAAAGGTTCGGTCGGTTTACTTTACTCAATTTCAAATTTCACGATAATATTATCCGCGTATTTATCAGATCGTTCAACCTAATTATGTACGTGCTTTTCCATCCTAAATGTCACATTTCTCAAAAATATCTGTTATTTTTCAAAATTTTACTAAAACAACAAAAGTAATACGAAATTAACTTTTCCTGTGTAATTTCGCAACGTCATGAACAAAATAATTATTAAAGATTAATTATAAATCTTTAATCAACACTAGATAAGTTTTTTTCCTCGCATCAAAAATTTTCCTTAATTTTCTTCATTAATACAATTTTCATTTAATATTTTCCTTCAAAATTGTTGATGCTAGAACGACACAAAACAAATTTCAATCTTACAAGATAATTATCCTTGCTTGTAGCAAAGTTTACTTGAAGCGCTAGTTACTCATTAGGCCTATATCGATTGGACCTATATTGCGGCCTTCCACTACGACTCATTGGTTGGTGGCCTGTAGTGTCGCTGTCAATCTCACAGTAGTAGGT